TGTTCACAAAAAATAGTTCACGATTGATTTTTCATAACTGTGGAGAAAGCAAACGTTATGTACAAATATTGGTATATGAAATTCCAAATAGCTGCAATAAAAGAAACTGTATTTCTGCACGATTCTGAAAACAATTCTTGCACTGCCACATTGCCGTGGGGCAGGAGTATGATAACCTCTGGTAACCTCTGATCAGCTAAGGTGGTACCACCTATGCAATGGCTAACAGATGGCGGCATACTATATGTATGAAACTAATTGACTCGCCTCCCCCGCTGCCCCCCCGGCAACCCCAATAGATCCAAGCAATTTAGTCTTCAGGAAGGACAACTGCAATTAGAAACGTTCCGTTTATATTAAAGCCAATGGATAGGCCTATATGCTTAATTCACAAATATTGCTATAGGCGACACCTCACTTCATCATTATACCTCTGTATCCCTGATTACCGCATATACTCGCGTCACATAACGCAACCATTTGGCTCAGATTTTAACCCCTGTAATTGCTCTGCGGTTTATTAGAGTGCGCCTACCGTGAGGAGGAATTAACATAGGCGCAATACGTGTTACCCAACCTTCAAAGCTTGAGGATGCTTCGGGGCTTAATGAGGGGGGCGCGCGGCGGTCTATTACAGCGCGCTCATATACGGCTACTGATTCCTTTTATCAATTGAATAGTGAAACCCAAAATACTCAACCCAATGTACAGGGTATGGCGCTGTGATTACTATACACACAGCGCTCAATGCTTACGTCTTGTCACTCAGACAAGCATCAAGTTCGCCACGTACGACGAGACGGGTGCGCATGGACACGATGCGAAATTTAGAAGTCATATACGCGGTGTTGCATGAAAAGAAGTTTTACGATCTGATGCCGAACAGCTCAACTGAGCGCAGTAGAGGCTCAGACCTGGTCACTCGTTGACGCAGTGTGACTGATTATGTGCTCGCATGTGGCAGACTGCGTCATACTCGTTTAGACGCAGTGCTGGAGCTGTTATTTCGTAGCCTGATTCGTGCGAAGGACCTGGTCATATCGTTGACGCAGTCGCGACTGATTATGTCGTGTGATCGTGGCAGACCCTGTGCATATTCGTTTGACGCGTGCGACTGATTAGTGTGACCTGGAATCGTGGCCAGACCTGCGTAATATCTGTTGACGCAGTGCGACTTGTTATTCGTGTGATCCGATGGCAACCCTGGTGGCTCAGATCTCCGTTGAGCAGTGCGCATCCTGATCTATTCGTAGTGATCGTGGCCCAAGACGTCTGGTCATATCCATTGGACGCAAGTGCGCAGCTATTTATTCGTGTTGATCGTGGCTGAGTTACCTGAGTCCATATCGTTGCACGCAGTGCGAGCCTGATGTATTGTGTCAAATTGCCAACATTGAAAAACGAACCCCCCCCCCCAATAGAAAGCTGGCTACGGGCCTGTATACGGTACATAAAGTTTATAAATGATCAAGTATTGCTATAAATATTTGTGATTAAGCATATAGGCCTATCCATTGTGCCTTTAATATAACTGAACGGTGTTCTAATTTGCAGTTTCCTTCCTGTATAGACTAATTTGCTTGGTTTGATTGGGGTTGCCTTCAATTGTGTTATATATATATGCTCATTGCTTAGCCATTGCCATAGGTTACCACCTTTAGCTGATGAGAGGTTACCAGAGGTTATCATATTTAGGGAATTTACATTACCAATATTCTTGTAGCATATGTTTGCTTTTTCTCACAGTATGAAAATCAAATTCGTGTAACTGTTTTTTTTGTGAGAGCATATAATGCACTGTAGTATGTGCATACACATGTACATACACATTGTAAAAACTATACTATGGTTATGCAAAGTGCGAAATTAACGGGAGTCCGGAGTCAAATACTCCCAGATTTACTGTCAGACTCCCTGATTTGACGTATGCAGGAGTCCGCGTGACTCCCTAAAAATTCTGCCATACTACCTAGTTCGTTCCAGAGCACGACCTCGTGGAAATACCATATTTTTTCAGCTAATATCCAAAGAAAATTTGACAGACGTGCAACCGCATGATAAGCACATGCGTTATTGTTAATATCTTTAATTTTGAACCTCACACTGCAGACCTCTCTCTTTTTTAGTTTGTTTTTTCCCGTGTTCAAAAGTTAATTTCTACCCCTGGTTATGCTTTACAGTACAAGATCATGGCGATATTGGACTAGATCAATATAATGTAAGTTGTGATGTTTTTTATTTGAATTCATTTGAATGTATTTCTTGCATATTTTGTTATGATCGGTGTGAAATTAGTTGTGAATATTTCTCGAGTTTTATTAAGAAAGCTTAAAATTATGCATAATAAATTAGAAGTGATGGTAATTAACATATTTTAAATATAATCTGGAGCAAATAAAAACGCATTGTGTTTATTCACTCCTGATCATATGTTTTATATAAGTATATTGAGATCTTTTGTAAATGACAAGGTCTATCAATCAAGGAATGAATTGCTCAATAAAAGGAAGTTTGATTATTTGATATAAATAGAATATAAGGGTTTCTGAAATTATGACTACGTTAGAATTACATTTTCCATTTAGGGTGCTCTAGTACAAGTCCATTTTTAGCTCATCTGACGAAGTCAGATGCAGCTTGTAGAATACTGACTACTTGCGGGTTGCTGAGTAACCGAGTTGACGATCAGCGCCGCTAGCGGCAGGTGCACGCATAGCCGGTGTCTCATTATACAATACTACTAAAATAGTTGCAACTTTACAAAAGTAAAATTAACGTGAAGCATAATGTTAAAAATTGTTACAAAAGATCCTCACTGGATTACGCTTATCGCATTGTATTACTATTATTGTTGTATGATAACAACCTGTTATTCTTGTAGGTATGTTCAACCTAGCAAGTATGAAGAATCGGCCGATGATACTTATTGGTGGGTGACTCCGATGTAGCTCAAGTATGTAATAACATTCAGCATATACCTTTAGTGGGAACGATACCCTTATTAAAATATCATGTTAAAATCCAGAGCATATTGATGCCAAAATGCTCATGGCAAGGCTTCGTCTTTGCGCCGTTAAAGCTATCTTGATTATCTATAGCAGACTGTCATTATATTTGATGTCAGGCGATTTTATATATATCCGAAGTTGCTTAATGTAAATTGTAATCGTGGTGCAATTTGACGGTTAGTTAAAAAAAAATTGGGGTCGTCTCCTCAACATGATCAAGACAGTCAAAATTACATCTCTATACTGTGGTTATGGTTGTGTTGGTGTTTCTGCACTTAATTTCGTAAGGGGATGTTCCAGTCACCACCAGGGGCCGGTATATGGTGCATGGTGAAAAACTGATAATTGGAGGTACTGGTCCAGCAGGAACAGTGCCTCTGAGGAAGCACTGGTCCTGGTCAGTAGGCACTGGTCCAGGATTTCTGTCGTAGCAAAGTGAATGACTCGGGTGTGGGGACGTTTTTATATGGGGGGGATGGTGCAATTTGGTGATGTGCATTCTAAGGTATTCTTAAATATTATATTTTTTACTCGTTTTGATACACCAGGGTTCTCCAAGCTTTTTCATTATAGCATGGCGGGTGCTGCCTTTACGGTCCTAATTGCAAATCGCCGAAGGCGGTTCGCGTGCTAGGGTGGTCCGGGGGCTATGATATTTAGACATTTCCTCCCTATACCTTAAGTTAAGGAGTGAATGTTCCCCCTTCTTTTACATCTCTTGACCTTTGACCTCTGACCCCCAGCTTCGACATCCCAACTCGTTTTGACGATCCCCCCCAACGACCCGAATATCGTGACCGTACGTCGAGCGGTTAAGATTTGTGCCCAACTGTTGACGGACGGACGCACGCACGCACGGACGACCGGACGCACGGACGACCGGAGGACCGGACGGACGGACGATCATGCGATTCTACAAGCTGCATCTGACTACGTCAGATGAGCTAAAAATAGACATCAGAAGCAAGCAGATTCTGATTCTATTTGGTCACAATCATGCCAGTGCATAAAAATACAAACGCAGAAATATTGTAGAAATGGTTGAATTTTAGTAATAAGGAACGTGTCATATGTATGCGTTAGTAGCTATAGTTTCTATCACTTAATTATTAATGGAAGGATCAGGATATTTACCCGGTAGCAAGCTTTCCCCACTCCAAGCCAAGAATAGCATGATGGTGAACTCTTACACGCTAATAGATACGTGTGTTTTGCTGATTCAAACTGAAATAACAACAACATTACAGTTCAGCATGGCTGGTGTTCTACACTCTGGCATGGTGGCTCTCCCTGTCGTTCTCTCTCTCCCTCCGTGCCTCCCCCTCCCCCTCTCTCTCTCTTTCTGTCTACCCCCTCCCTCCCTCTTTCTGTCATCCTCTCCCACCTCTCTTCACATCTCTGAATCTTATATGTACTGCAATTAAGACGAATTTACCTGTTGTGCACGACCCAGCTCATGCACTCTTATATGACCAAGTACCTTGTTCATTGATAAGCAGATGTCTCCTAATTTCATGTAGACGGCATGCAGGTAATGGGAATCTGCGGTGGCTTGTGCAGCAAAGGACAGTGCTCGTTCATAATTCTCTATGGCCTTTGCCATGTCGCCTAACTTCTGCTTGATGTGACCAACCAATGCCCAGAGCTCGGCATTCTGGTCATAACAACAAGTCGATTAATATGGCATATGAGCGCCATCATTTCCATTACAATAGCATAAGAAATAATGTACACATAACCTGCTTCACCTTTGTGAATCAGGGGTTCAAAACCAGTCTTCAGATTAGATGAGATTGCAGTACATCATCTAGATATTATGTAAATCTAAAACAACAACCTTTGACTGTTTAAAAGCCAGTTTCACACTCAGTTGCAGAATAACCTGATAGTTTCGCGTTAATATTTCCTTCCTGTCTTGATTCAATCACAGCCCACACAGTCATCATACTGTCTATCCATCATGGTCAAGTTGTGATCCCAGAGTCAATATGCTATTCAAGTATTATTCCATACCTGAAATTCCTGCTCCAGCGCAGATTGAACAACACTCTCAGCCTCCTTGTAATTGCCTTTCATATAATACAACTTGGCAAGTAGCTTCAGATAGTCGGACGAGTGTCCTAAGTTGCCAGCAACTACCATCTTTGCTAGAGCTCTCTCTGCAAACTACATCCATTTAAAAATCAAGTAAGTGATAATATCAATGAGCATCCAAATAGAGGAGAGCTTAATGCCAATTTTTTGTGTTTTTTTATATAATAAGTGAAACCAGACGTAGGCACAAATATTTCAACACTACCTAATTTGTAATACAAACATGACTATAGAGTATAGACGTAACTACATGTTATACACATAAATATAATTTTACTAAGCACACTCACGGGTAGAACATTAGCATCCAGTAAGAAGTGGGCAGCTTCTAAGAAGATACTCGTCTCTGGTTGTGCAGGCATTGGCAATGCCTTCTTATCAGGTTGGAGATCTGGGCTATCTGCTCCTAAAATAGCCAATATTTACGTATGTTAATAATTGGTTTCACATACTTGACACTAGACTTCAGGATGAGTGAAACTAGTATTCTTATGAAGTAGCGCACATGGAAATTTAATAGATTGCTATGACCAAACCTGCTTAATTTTCTATGGAAACATGATCTGGTCATTTGCAACATGTTTGACCTAATCTCTATAATAACGTATGCACAAGAAATGCTACTTGTCCAGTTACTAGGATCTACTGCTGAAATGTATTGGAATACAGATTAATAGATTGCAATTGGTAGGGTTTCCTTCTTTTAGCTGGGAGCTGTTACCTCTACAGTCTATACACACTTAACGTGTTCTAAGCCAGATTTCTTTATACAATTATACCTTCAACTATGGTAGATACACTGTCCTTGGAAGGCTGAGAGGATAATTTGTCCGGAGTATCATTGCGCGTGCCATTGCTAAGTGCATGTCGACAATCTGAGGTGAGCCGGTTTGCTTCACTGTACGCTCTCTCAAATCCAATGTCATTACCGATGCTTTCATGATACAGTCCTGCAGTCACACAGCGACCAACCCTTCACTACACAGTAATCGATAGATACCTAGTGCACATAGGTAATCAATTTGTCACCTTTATAACAAATACCATTTTCTGTTTTGATTCTATTCACTGATATGTTAAAACAAAGTGAAAAACGTACCGAGAATGGTCCAGGCTAGTACGTTTTGAGGGTCTACAGATATTGCCAGTTCAAAGAACCTTTCTGCAGCTTGATACTTTTCTTGCATAGCATGTACCAAGCCAGTTAGAAGTAAGCTGCAGAGAATTTAAAATACACGTCATGATTAATGAATTTGTGATCCAACACCCCAGCAAGTCTCGAACTGATATGCAGTTACATTGCATAAACTTGATGCAGGGTATACACAAACTGCAGCTACAGATTTAGATACCGCATTAATAAAAACCTTTCTGTACTTTGCTGATGCACTGTGACATTTACATTCAAATGCTCTGGGGGTAAGAGTAACAGAAAAACAGATAGAAGCCGGCACCTTGGAACATTGCTTTGATTGATTTGCAAGCATTCCTTGAAGCATTCTTCAGCCTGTGAATGCAAAAAATTTATACATGTATGTCTAAACATTTTTAGAGGGTTTTATCTTCCGAAAGATACTCGACGTTTAGGTTGATGTGTTGATCATATAAGGCAGCCTCAAACTGAGTGAATCACTGACCTTTGTCATATCACCAGCTAAAAGCCAGAAACTTCCATAGTTCAGCCAGCTTCCTATGTTCGTTTTGTCTCGAGCAATAATCTGTAATGAACATAAAGACATCAGTGATTATCTATCTACTATTAAACCTTCGAAAAATATTACAATTGGTCTGCTGTTGAAATCGTATTGCCACACTGTTTCAAGCTGAATATTGTGTAAAATGAAGAGGCTGGCCACTAAATTCACTCGCCCACCTCAAGGTAATACGTTCCTGCTGCTTCCATATTATTCAACGACTCTGCCTCCTTTGCAAAGTGACGCAGCTGTAGGATGGTGCTCGTGAACTGGGGAACTGGTGCCGCCTCACTTTCTGGCCCGACGACACTGTTAAGGGCATTGTGCATTCGATCCACTAAGTACACGTATAGGTCGCTGAGGAAATTCTGGAAAGAGTCAGAACTTTGAATCAATTACCTGAATTTTCACGCAGTACAATTAAAATACAACCTATCATCTATAGTGATTTTCTTGACCCGACTGTCACATTGGCTGCTGACAACAATTCCGGCCCTATAGTTATAACACACACGTGTAGAATATTCTCTCTATATATATATCTAATTTTATATATATATATATATAGATCACTAGTAGATATATTCCATATGCACACGTTAATGGTGTTACTTTTGGTGCCCCTTAATTTTCTATAAAAGTAAGAAATATATGTCACCACTTCTCCCACAGCAGGAGATTACCTGCATCTCTGCTTTGTCCTTGAAGATTGACACCCTGAAGTACTTCTCCCTCACTATGTTCACTATGACGTACTTGAGCCGCTCTTTGAAGGTGAAGTACTTTCCGCTGGCGTTTAGCTCGTGCATCAGCTTCAGCCTTCTGTAACGCAGATTTCTATAGTATGTTCCGATTATTATAAATGTAAAAATGTGATATGCTAGACATAAAAATGTTAAATTGCAAATTCGAGCATTTCAATTTAGTGAAAAAAATTGTACCTCTGTCCAGTAGAATCCCCACTTTCATTGTCAATCTTTCTGCAAGTAAGATCAATTATAATTTATAACCTATAAAACTTTACGCAGTATAAAATATTTGTTTGTAGATGCATACGTGTGCATGTGTGTCAAACTATTATTTAAAAGTTTATATAAAAATTAATTATGAACATCTTGGTAATTTAAATATATTATTAACATAAAAATGACGTGTTAGCTCTGATTTATGTGATCGCAGATTCACCAGATACACCATATATAGTTATTGTTGGTTTACAAATGAAGCAGCTTATATACTCACCCAATCTCATCAAGTACAATTGTTGCAACCTTGATAATCTCGGCTTGATATGCAGAAACTGCCTACAACGAAACGAATAAACAGGACAGGTGTGGTACATTTATGCATATCTACTTATGTATAAAAATTATATCTTTTATGCAAATCATACTAACTTTATAAACGAATAAACTAGTTTATTTGATAATATTCAAGTTCTTTTATAAGAGTAAAATTTATTTACATAAGATAATTGTATAAATTGGCTTTACCTTCTCAGCACCGTTTTGAACTTTTGGAAATGGTGATCGTGGTTTGATGTAATCGGATACGCTAATAAAAATGAATTAATACACTATTATAATGTCATATAAGGTTGGGAGTTATGAAAATTACATAATTTTATAATATAATCTTATATATATTTATATGTTTTTTTAAATTACAGTTCATACCTTTCTGATAGTTCCTCAACAGTACTCTTTGGCACCAGTGATCTTTCTAACGAAAACTCCATCACGACATATGCATTTGCATCTTCAAACTCCTTGCCTGCCACCTGATTACTTAATGTTGCATCCTCCTCTGGTACTGGAATTTCCATCTTGGAAGCCTAAGGAAATACACGTGGAATGTGGAAGTGCACGTGAGCAAAGATTCATTTTAAGTTTTAATTAAAAACACCATATAAAATGCAGCAGCGATGAACATTTTACAAATTTGATATGCAACAGCTAGAAACATATATAGGGATGACACTGTGATTTGCCAGTGAATATACAGCACAATTTCAATAGGCTTTCAAGTATAGTTTCTTACCCCTCGTTTGGCATCTTTACCTAGTTTCTTTGGGTTAATTGTGGAGCTACTGTTTTTCATTTCGTCTGACATCCCATGACCAATAGCCTATAGGGTTACAATAGAAATAGATACAAGACCTAAACAGTTGTGTTATGCTCTGGTTCATGTTACAATACAAAAACCCTTGCAAATTGGTGTAGCGTTCCAATGTTTAGTTTACTTAATAAATATCTCCTACTTAATAACACCAGGGTTCTCCAAGCTTTTTCATTATAGCATGGCAGGTGCTGCCTTTACGGTCCTAGTTGCAAATCGCCGAAGGCGGTTTGCACGCTAGGGGGGTCCGGGGGCTATGATATTTAGAGTGGCGGGTGCATTTTAGGATGGCGGGGCTCGACGATATAGCCTGGCGCGTATAAGTGCTCTTGGAGAACCCTGAACACCGCTATGTACTTCTGCATAACTGTCAAAACCAATGCAATACGTGAACATGCAACTTGATATGATGTGACTTACGGGCATAGCAAGTGGTGCACGCTTGGTCTTTTCACAGCAGGCAGATTCACTGTAAGGATGTATCCTGAACGCCCCTCTAACTTTGTTTACTATGAATAAACAAAGGTCATACTAGTTGTCAGAATTCACAATGGGATATTTCATACTATGGGTTCTTTTAAGACCAGTGCAAAATTTGCTTGCCACAATACACTATCCATAATAAATTCTGTCATAATGTGTTTAATACAATGGCAATGAATTATCCAACTCGTAATAATATCAAAAAAGCATTTATTTGCCATCAATTCTTAACCATATGGTATAATCACGTGTGATATGCTTCATTAATACTAAGACATTGTCACAAATCATACCGCCAGGATATAGAAGAGGTGAAAGGTTCACGTAGATTAGTCCATGATACATACTTTGATCTTCATTCTCCTTGAAAAGAAAAAATATATTTGAGCTTCTGAGAATTCAAGTTGGCTGGTTTATAAATATATATATAAACCAGCATGTGGATTGTTGAGTGCACAATGTATAAGAATGAAATTGCATATTATCAGAAGTATTTGTGACATTGTGTGAATTGCACATTACATCCCAAGCGTCATTCAAATTAAAATCCAGATGAGACGGGATACTAGAGAAGCGTTGCCGAAAGGAGGTATTAATCCGAAGCGCTAAGCGCAGATCTTGAGCGCAGTTCCGCGGCCAGGCGCACGCGACCGCGGGAACGTCTTACGACAGTATGCAGCGCTGGCAGCTATGGATCCGTGCGCTGAATGCATTGGCCGGCGCACGGATCCATAGCTGCCAGCGAACAGTCCGCAATTTTAGTGGAGGACACAGAGGGTAGACATTTGGGACGTGAACAGTGTTCACTTGTTATAAAAACATAATGTCTCTGTTCGTAACCGAGCTGTGTGACGCGAAATCACAGAAAGACTGACGAAATTCTCGCGTTCGCGAACCTTGCCCAGTAATGGAAATGGCTGCAAGGACAAAGGCTATATAGACTGGGTCTTGCTCCCACCTCGATTACCCATCGAGTGACTAAGCTAAGCCGAGAACACGTAGCAATACATGCACAAACGCGCACAAACACATACATCGCAATACATCGTATTATATGTTAGGACTCTAGGCTATAGGGAGTAAAAATAACCTGTATATAAATATAATTGGAACATTCAGGGTTTATTCATTTCTGTATTACATGAGCCATTATGAATTATTGGGTTAATTTACGGTCCCAGTACACTTACTAACCTTAGGCTTAGCTATCAGTCTATGGATCAGTATACAGCAACTGCCGTACACTACAACTACTTGCAAGTACAACTTCCCGTCACTATGATAGTAATGTAAATAACCCGACAAGACTGTACATATCAGTGTATGACTGCAAGTCTGCACTGCAAGATCAAGGCTGCACTGCAAGATCATAGATTCGACATAACACGGCTACCGACCTTGCTAGGGTTAGAATACTAGGGTGTATTGACGTTAGTCACACAGCCTGGTCGGGTTAAGATTCGACATAACACGGCTACCCACCGACCACCGCCCGGTATGTAAACAAATTTGTAAAGCTGCATCTACGCTTGTTACATACTTATTTATAGTCGTTAGTCTGCCCATAACAAAATTCGACTTTCCTTTTAATTAGATGACCTTCCGATGAAAAAAATTCCAGTTGTGGCTCGTCATTATTTAACGAATCAAACGACGAACAATAACAAACTTTTCCATGGTTATAACATAGACGCCATGCTATCAATCCATGTGCATATAGACTGGTACCCGGTCGACAGTTCCACACGCTACACTACGTGAGTACGTGAGTACGTGGGTGTTGTACGTGAGTCTAGCCGTCAGGCCAGAAATAAGCGGTTAGCGCCGGCGGCCCGTGCTGCACAGGAAACGAGGCTATATGCTTATATAGACTGGTACCCGGTCAACAGTTCCACACGCTACACTACGTGAGTGTAGCGATATGCCGGAGTAAAGGTGGCGAACGGGTACCAGTCTACTATGCCTATAGCCTCGGCGTTCGTTGCGCCGTCTATCGCACGCCATATGTACTACACTCATCAACAGAAACAAACAAAGAAGAAAGTGCAAATCCGTTTTTTACAGCAAAACGAGCGCGCCGAGTCGCCAAAAAAGTTATAAGAGCATTTCAAGCAAATCTCAAGCTACATGGGTAGTGAAATCCGTCGTCCAATCGCCAGAACTGCTCAACTCAACGATTATATGGCTTTGGCGTATACCAGGGCCCCGTTGAAGTAAATTCAGATAGTGCAGCGATGTCGTGAAAGCTTGCCGCTAGGCGGCGTTTGCGCGCTTCGCGCGGATATCCGGCTGCAGACTGTCTAGCATACAATATTTATATCAACGAACCTTTTTGACTTTAGCAGTACTGGTTGCATTTAGTGAAGCCTTCAGCGCTCTGGTAATTTCTACAGGCCAAAACCGCCCTTTAGATATCTTTGCCTGAAAACTATCAAATACGTAAAATTTCTTAATTTTGGAAATTTAATTATTACATTTAACATCAATCACTAGTAATAAAACAATCTTAATTCAACGTTATAAAATAAACTTTATAGAAAAATTTATAGAAATTAGTGTTGTAAAAAATCTAGCATTCATTTATGTCAGCTTCAATGCAAAAGATGAAAACTGTTTATTTACTAGTATGTTATAATATGGCTCTCATTATCAATTCAGCAGAACAGATCTGATACACAAATGCACTAGATTTAAAAAATCAAAACTGTTCACATATACATCAATTAAATTTGTATCAAGAAATCAAAGATGATTATATATAAGTGCCATATTTCTAAGTGCTGGTGCTATTCCATGTGCGTTGCTTAATAAGAGCTACATTATTCAAATCGACTATTGCACCTGGATGCAGCATCCTCGTCTAGGTAGCACCTCCTTAACATGTTCCACGTCACCCGGGGTCTCTCTGCTGCCTTCCGAAAGACTGCACCCTACACACGGTGGCACAGACAACACCAATTAGCTAGGTTATAATCTATAACCGAATGACGTTTCGTTTGCGTGCGACTCAAAGCCTACATTCCAATATTCAGTGAAGAGCATGGTGAACCATATTGAGAAAGAATTTAATATATTGCTCAGCCAGAAGAAAAAACGTTTGACACTTAAATTACCTCTTCTCCTTTAAAGTCGACCAAATCGCACTCACGTATTTCGGCTGGCAAGAGTCTGAAATATCAAGTAACCATTAGTTTATTTAATCATATTACTAAATGCTAGTGAGAATCTTGTTAAAAAATGATTGACATAAAATGCAACATTAGATTCCATTATAATTAATGTGCGCAATGCAATGACATCCCCTGAGTATAAACAACTAGTAGTGCCTCGTCTCTACCTGTCATGAATAGCTTTGGGATTACCCAGGTCCACACTGCTGCAACACCAGTGCAGTTGTCTGCTGTCTGCCACATTCTCAGAGGAAGAATACAGCACACCTCCTGGCAACGCGATCCCCTGCTCCTTCTGAAATTCCACACTGAATTCAGATAACGCACATTCCCATTATGTTTAACAAAAATCTTTCATACTCAGTATTTGATACTTGCTAATTAGTATTAAATTTTCCTATTACTTATAAAGATGATTAAAAGTTACTGATTTTTTTATTTCAATGCGTATTTTGCCCTGCCTTTATAGTGCGTATAATTTACAATGATCTGTTCACAGCTATTTTTTATGCATTAATCACAAGATCTATATATGCAGCCAAACATCCACTAATGTAGGTACACTAAATTGCTTCATATGTTCTACAAGTTAAACTAATTAAGAACAGTAAGAATACCACATTTCTCTTTCCCAAAAGTAATAAGCATGGCCTGTAATTCCAACAGTAAATTGGTTCAAATGAGGATTGTTTGTGTCACTTAATTATTATAATATACGAATAAATTATTATTGGTCCTGATAAACTGCCCGTATATGTGAGGGAATACATACTACATAAGGAAGTGAAGGTCACAAACCTCTGCACTTGTTGGAACAGGAAGAGAAATAATGTAGGTTAGGTTTTGGTCAGGTGACCATGTAGCCGGCATCGAGTAACACGATTCTAGCGTGACACTGAGAATGTTGCAATTAACATGCTCCTTGGTAAGTGGTGAGCGTCTCACTGAAACTGTAACATCCACCTCGGGCTGAAATAGAAACAGGTTCAGATCCTAAATGGTTCTTCAGCCAGGTGATTAGCAAAACGGTGTGCAATGGTGATTAATATAGTACAGTCGAGTGAAGGTGAGCTTTTTGCACAAGGCTTAGCAAAGCAGAAATTTTGCTAACCATTAAGTAGTTCTATGGGTTATAATAAAATCATCTGAAATCTTGTGGTAATTACAAGAAATACCGTAAGAAATATTGGCACGTACATAACATAGGAGAATGTATTCGCCATACTGACAAAAAATACCACGTGGGTTTAAGGACTACACTAATGAAGTCAACTGAGTCTACTAATGCAATAAACGTACTGTTAGTGTTATATGGGTGTTATATCCAGGATCCAACTAATTACACTGTAGATTGGATTGTGGTAATCATAAGAGTGGATTAGCTATAACAATTTAGTTATAATTTCAACATTAGTGGTTAGCACAGACTGGTCTTCCTTGGCAAATACAAATCTAGTCTAAAATGTTGATAAGAAGTCCAGGACTGTGCACATTATAAATATGGAAAAAAAATTCCAGCTTTATAACCTACCTTACTATGTTGGTTATTTTCTAATGTACTTTCGTCGGAGCCATTAACTGCCAGCAGGGTTTTACATAAGCTCAGTGTAGATTCCCCTAAAACACAATTCAGCACATGAACTATAAAATAATGATTAATTAATGTCAAGACTTGTATAAACAAGCTTTCTCATGCATCTAGAGGCACAGTGGCGCACCACCACTGAACTTCCATTAAATTTAACATCGCCGTTGTGAAAATGTTCAGGACTGTATTTTCCCGCTGTTGTCAAAACAGTGTCAACCCAAAAATGAATAGATCACCACGTGCTTAGAACTGGAATATTTAGATTGCCATGTGCGTTTATTGAGTCATGTGACGCGGGGTCTACACTTTTCCGTTGACGGAACTACGCATTTGAATCCATCATGCGCATTTTTTCCCCAAACTGGCCATTATCTCCCTTGTCTAATTTTCTCTCAGAAGAAACCCTGTATAAGAGCTCATAACATACTGTGATTAACAAGCCTGCTTGTTTAGTCTATCTTGTGTGTGCAACTCCATATTATATTGTAACTATTTATCTGTTAGAGGGAACATGACTCCCACAACGCTTCCAAATTAATATAAGTATATATATATATATACCTTGTAGAAGAGGCAACAAGTCTATGGTACAATAGTAGAGTGAAGTTATCTTCTCTTCTTTTTGTTTCTTTTCTTTTGGGAAAGACTCCAACACGGTAACTAAACATAAACGCAACGCTGTAGCTATATGCCCGGCAGCCGGGCACGGTCTTCGATTTCCTAAATTCCCGGCAGTTCCTAACCCTAACCCCAGGGCTCGAATTAAGCGACGAGAAGGGCAAGGCAATTTTTTTAGGGCATGTGAGAAATCGCCTTGAATTTTCTCTAAAATAGAAAGGCACCAAGGCACTTTTGTAAAATAAAAGAAAACTCATAACAAATTAGTACATCAACACCGTCTTGCTTTTAATG